TCATCGTGCGATTTGAACTTCGCTGACGCGTATCGCATTGAAGAAACTACGGATAAACCGACTAAATTTCCGAAGGGAAGCACTGCCATTGCTGGTAATAGCAAAATATGGACGCGAAAAGCTTGTAGCGAGGGATCTCCGGCGCGCGTAGCCGGTTTCCTATGTCGACGATGCTGCTTACGTCCGCAACTCGCGCACATACCGCAGATAGGTATCCCGATAACCCGTTATCGTGATTCGCGATATACAATGTGCAGGCCGTACGCCAGAAGACGCTCGACGAGGCACGAAATAATCGAGCGATCGGACGCGCTCGTAAATTTCGCGCGTGATCGGCGGACAGAACGTAAACGTGGACGGGAAGAGTAATTATTAATTAACCGTTTTGCAATCGTGATCCTCATGCAATAAGAATAGGTCAAACGACCCGATTCTTAAAAAAACATTTTAGCTTTAACTACCGTCGTATCGTCGTGTCTCGTTACAGGCACGGTGATAGTGATACAATTTTTTTCTATAGTATGTCACAGAAAAAAAATAGATAGAGTTCAGTAAAGCTACAGCTTACGTGAGTTCAACATCTATATTATTTATAATTAAGATTTGATAGTTTAACAATAAAATTATTAAGCAATTATCAGTATTTTCTCCTAACTATCAGATACGTTCATAAAATGAATAATAAAAATTGTTAATGTGACACGTTTTCTTTCTTACAGCAGCAAATGTGTCATCTTAATTTTGTTTTATTAAAAATTTGGATCTTTAAATATTGCTTTGATTTTCGTAAGAAGTTATCTTTGATATATTAATTACTTTTATATATTAATTAATATATTACTTTTATATGTATAACAAATTTGCTAATCTATTAAAATAAATATAATTATCTATAATTATAATAATTTTATTCAGTTATACAACTTTTGATACTTTAACATATGTAGAAAATTGGTTATATATTATGGCTAGATAAATTTACTAATTAATAAAATTTTTAATTGTTTTTATAAATTTTTTCCCGTGTGTGAATGTATATCTTCGTATGATATACTAGTACAATATTGTCTCCTTATAGTATACTAATTTTCAATAGAATAATAAATAAAAGACTAAAAAAAAATATTCCAGATACATTTCAGATACATTATCAAATACATAAAACATGTCCATTTAACAAAAATATATAAAAATAACTATTTGAATAAATAAGGCATTTTTAAGTATTTGTCAGATCCAATGATAGTGTTAGTGTGGCAAAGTATTCACGACGCAGTTAAAAGTTAAGACCCCTGAATTCGATGTTTACAAATAAAGAAAGTCACGAATGTAAGTCAATAATGCAGGGACACGCTGAGAAAAATTTCTAGTTGAAAATAAACGAACCTGAAGATTCTGATCATATTAATCAGAGTTCTAGTTATCTCAACTAGAATTATACATATGGATTCAACCAGAAAATTTTGATTTGTTTATTTTCAACCAGATTCCAATTAACGCAACCAGATATTTTTTCCAGTGTATATGAATTAAGAATTACAGACCGAGAATTATAAAAATATGAGATATATCTCATATAGCAAAAATGTGTTCACGCTTTTGTAAATCAAACGTTCGCAAAGAACCGAAACTCGTTATCAGCTCGTTTAAATGTGACTTAAGCGCGTTATCGGATCGCGCAAGGCCACAGGCCGCTCTCGTCTGATAACGTACGACGCTCTGGTTATATTGCAAACTAAGCAAATGAAATGAGCGCATATTTTTCATGGTACTTGATACATTTGCGGCCTATTCTGACTTTTATGAGTCGGGGAAATTTAATTACCCGCGTCAATCACGCACCGGAGAAAAAGAGAGAACGACATCCACGAAGGAATATTGAGATCGACCTTTAGAAAAAGACTGCGAGTTGGCGCAAACGCAAAGGAACCGTGTCCTTTGAAGGAACGCGTTGATTAATTCATTTGGAGATTAATTCTCGAGGATAATTCATTCTTGTGTTGTCAGAGAAAACACCAGGTATTAACGGATCAATTAACGCTTTTAATTCTTCGTGTCAGCTGGCGCGACATTCAGCGAGCGATTAAGTAATTTTTGCTTAGAGTGCCGATTATGCACCCCTTCCGGAACTACACGGCACGTACAAATAAAAGATCAGTCGAAACTCCGGTTCGAGAAGAACACAAAACATGGAGGAAAAGGCGTCTAGAATCACAATGCTAACGGTCTACTTTTTCATCGGACAAGAACGTGATACGCGGGGGATTGTTAGAAGGGGTCAAAGTCCCAAAGAGAAAGAGTGGACGACGTATCCCTCTACATCAGCTCGATAATCCCTTTTCCTCGCATGCGGTGGTCGCATAAACACCCCTGAACGAGTGTTATACACGCAACGCGGCCACGCGAATTGGCTGCCAATTTCTGTCCCCTAAAAATCTACCATGAATTCAATTTCCGAGCTGCTACATCGTGTACACATAAAAAGTACATATTATTATATATGCAAGTATAAATAATTCCTTGTATCAAATATTTCAAAAGTATTCGTATATCCGCAAATCTATCATATAAGTTTATCACAAGTTAATTCAAAATATTTAATATTTCAATCTCAAAATTATTAAATTAAAACAAATTCAACTTGCTTATTATGTAAAGTTGCTTCTCCCATCAATTTCATAATATTCTTCAAAAAATAAATTCTTGTTTGGAATTACATTGAGTTTTTCTAAAATTTGTAATTAACTATATGTATTTTAAAATTATTATCAAGAAAATATTCTTTGTTAAAAATAAACTTTACTTAAAAGAAAGAAAAAGAGTAAGTTGAGCAATCAACGAACAACCCTCCATTTCTCAACACGACTTTTACTTTCGCAGTGACACATTCGTCCGTTTCATATTTATCCCACTGTGTTGCAAGATCCCCGCGAGATAGCATTATCGCACAAAGAAAGAATATGTAGATAAAAAACGATAAGCTACCTTGCCTTTGGGAACGAACTCTTTGTTGTTAAACTATTCGTTATAACTGCGGTAACGAAAGTAGGCTACAATCTTTTATATTATAATTATATACAACTCTAACTGAAAAAATTGCGATTGACTCTCCGTGGTTCAACGTTTTTTCTCTGATTTCATAATTCAATCAAATTATCGTTGGATGTGTTTGAATATATTTTTTAATAAAGAGCTTTTTGACGCTCTAAAAAAGTTGAAAAAAATCCTTATATACATTCTTTTGATATTCAAGAATACAATTTTACACAATGATTTCATCCAATACATAATAATTTCATCTAATAATTTTGCATTTTTTTTTATTTTTCAGCTTTTTCGTGTCCGAATTTGAAGTAGAATAATTCATCAATTTTATAAATTTGCCACAGTCTTTGAAGTTCCAATTAGACAACGAAAGATTAATTAACTGTAAAAAACTGAATAAAAATCCAAAAAGGGTTTAAAAATGTCAACTGTAATTAGCTGTAGCTAAAAAATTAGGTAAATCTAGAAATCGCTTTTAATTCTTATCGATACACATAAGGTAATCCATTTATCGTTATTTACTACTTATTTATTGAGCAGATTTCCCGATTCGAGTTAGCGAGATATATTACATCATCAAAAACAGAGACTTTTTCTCGCAAAAAATTCGTACGTTCACGAGGGAATTTCAGGGAACCTCGGAAAAAGGGCAACGATAGGGTAAGAAGACCTGGTAAGTCCGTCATAAAAATGTACGAAGTGTTTCGTCTACGAGAAGTGAAAGAAAGTTCCACCAACCGTCGCGTCGTCGCGAAAGCAAGAAACCCATGACATGAGAGAAACTTCGAAACATCTTTATTAGCGGCGTCCACGTGTGTTGCCCGGACTCCCTTCCTCCATCATCGCGACGTGTATTTCCTTTCCCAATTCTTCGCGAATTTCCGGTTTGTTCTTTTTTTTTCTTTACGTACATACGCCGATAACGAAACACGTTACAGCGATCGATTACGAATCACAGCCATCTTCTGCTTTCCGTAATTTTATTTATCCGAGTCGCGCGGATACTCGCGGCACTCTTTTTGCGCGGATTAAAACTGCTTGGTAAGAGTAAACAGTTAGAGACCGCGCGACGACGTGTTTGCATGCGCGCGGTGGAAAACAAAATATTTGACAAAATAGTCAACGTTCCGAAAAATTGCGGCGCGCTGCACGGTTTAATTAAGAGCCCCCCCTCCGTAGTAAACTTTATGGTTTACAATGTAACCAGTATGTTTACCGATGCATCCAGTCGCTCTTTTTTTTATTACTCCATCATATCGGCGCGGTTCGCCCATCATTGATGTAATAATATTATACACATTTATGTAATTACTGATTTAAGCCTATTCTACAGTTACGTAAACGTTTGCAATTATAAGAATTGACCAATCATAATCGAATATGAGGAAAAGTTAGTATATATAGGATAGGCTTTAAACACAATATTAAAAACCGAATTAGTCGACAGGGGGAAAAAAAAGAATACCGATCTCTAAATTTCTTGCAGAAATCTTACTCTAAAAATATTGCCACTATTAAAAAAGAGTAAAAAAATTTGCATTTTTAATAGAGTGGCAGATTTTCTCTTTTTTTAAGTGAGATTTGACTGTTTTGGAATAAAATTTATTCCTAAAAATGAATGAAAATCTGCCACTCATATTCAAGAGTGTAGATTTTTCATTATTTTTTTTAGTGGCAAAATATTTTAACTCTTCTAGAGTAAGATTTAACTCCAAGAAATTTAGAGAGTACTCAAAAGTGATCAACTATTACTCAACTCGAATATGTAATTAACCATCAGTACATACTTCCGTTGTCACACACACAACGCATACGAAATATTTTAAACGAAAAAGAAGTGCTTTTGAATAAGGTCGACTAAAAATGAGGACAGATAAAGTTACTTATGGCAGCTTCATGCGAAGAAGCCATGTAAGAAAAAGTTTAACATGAAAATTTTAGATCGATGTACTTACGCAGGTGGTTTGATGGCGGTATGCTGGCGTTCTGCAACAGAAAAAATAAGAACGGCACAATTAGCAAAATAGATAGAGATTAATTATCATCTGTTTAATTATCGGTCGACCGTGTGCATTATGTTAAAATGAGTTTCCGAATGATTAATGTATTCGAATAAAAATTATTAAACATTGTAGATTAAGTATTCGTGTCAACTTGATGCGAATGTATTCCTTCCTTTGTTTGTAACCCTCTTATCATGAAGAACAAAAGAGACTCAAGGCAATCTTGTGCAGTTAAATTTTTTTTTTTTCAAACTCAATACTATTTCTCGCAAATTTGTTACAATTTTTAAAAATGATAGTAATATCATTATTAAATCGACGATCAATTGTGACATTATTATTCCAGCTTCAATTTATGATTGTTTTAAAATTTGACAGCCAACGAAGCGTAGTTTATATGTATAACTAAAAATTATGTTTAAAATTTACGTATACAAAAATTATTAGACGCCAAGATCTAGCCATCATCATCATCAAATCGATTTGTTGTAATTGTGATATTATTATCATCTTCAATTTATGATTGCATTTCAAACCGACAATAAGCGGCGCGCAATTTATATAATTAAAAGATGTATTTAAAATGTACATATAAAAAAAAAATATATATATATTACTAAATACTTTCTAGCCTAATATATTATTTGACAAGAGCTAATCTCGATCTTATTGGTTCCTTTCTTTATCTATTCTTTATTTATTCGATCCTTTACTTATTTTATATTCTTAAAACAATTTAGAGAGAGATTAACTTATTATTATTCTCTTCTTCAGTTTTAAGAATCTCTTCTCTAATTTTTTAAAAGTTAAACCTACTCTCTTGAGAGAGAGACAACTTCTTCAAAAGTCTATATAACTTCATCCACAAACATTGAAAAATAACTATGAACACATGATAAGGTTATAATCGTCGTGCAATTCAATAGAAGAAGTGGTTAACAAGTTCAAGGCGAAAAAAGATTCAGGTAGATTGATACATAAAAATATGGATGCATGAAGAAGCGGTTTGTTGTTCCACACACAGTGGTCTTACTCGGGACCGTCTGTCATATACGAGAAATTCGCCTTTAGAAATTCGATGACCTGCTTGCTACCACAACAGAGGGGGAACAGAGGAAGTAACGAAGAAAGGAAGAGGTGGAATAGCAGAGCGCGCGGGTCGACCAGCATTGCGTAAACAATAACGTACACGCAACGTGCACGCATGAACACAACGCATGTCATGGGAAAGGGACTCCGGGGAAGCTTGTGGACGAGTCTGCGGCATGAAAGCGAATAGTGCGGAGAGTGCACGGTGTTAAATTCGAAATATAGAGGGCTGAACACACAGGGCGGACCAGCCGAGGCGCGCACACACCACCCGTCGTTACAGGACGCCGTATTTTATCACCCTCATTTTACCACCACACTTGTCTAATGTAAAAGCGCGTGCTTCGACGTTATTACGAAGCCACGCAAGAAATTGTTGCGGCAGCCGGAAATAATTCCGGCGAGAGGAAGTGAGGTTCCTTTTATGTGTGAGACCGAAAGATCTGGATTTCATGTTGTATTAAATATACTAAAAATTATAATTTTTTTTTTCTTTATATGGAAAAGACGATTTTATATAAAGTAAAGTCTAAAAATTTAGCCAGATACAGATCTAAAATTTAATTTTGTTGGACCATCAAAATAATTATTCAGAATGTTCGAACTAGTTGTTAGAATGACAAAACTATTTACAACATGTTATACTCATTAAACTTGAGATTCTTACTTTAATGATCTAACGAAATTATTTACAGATCTTTATGTATAATAACTAAATTTTTAGATATGTTATCAAAATCGTTTTTTACATATACATAAAATTGAATAAATCTTGAGAAACAAATACATTAGATAATTATAGTGTCCTTTTTTCTTTGTACATCTCTGCATATTTTTGGCAGACAATAAAAAATATTTATTTTTCCATATTACATAAAATATACACAGAGAAAAGTTTCTTTAAATTAAACAAAATGCATTGGAATAGTCCAACCAAATGGATGTTAAAATTAAAAATGTGATTATATTTTCATTAAAATAATATTTTTTAAATTAAACACAAAATGTTTCTTTTAAAATTAAATTTTTTTTAATGAAACAAATAACATTCTCGAGCCCAAACAAATCTTTTTCTCTGTATATATTAAATAAAAACCTTGATAAATAAATACGTCGGATAGTTATCACTTTTTTTCTTCTATACATTTTCACATGTTTTTTTATAAGACATTAAAGCAGTTTTTGTAAGACTGAAAGACTTGATTTCGTATTAGCATTAAATATTAAAAATTATAATTTTTTCTTCATGTTGCATAAAAATGAATAAATAAACCTTGGCAAAGGAACATAAAGTAATTGTCAGGTTTTTTCTTTACACATTTCTACATGTTTTCTTTATAGGTGACACAAAAAAATATTGTTTTATAGGCTTGTTGAATAATTTATATTCATGATCAGAAGACACTCGATTATAATGTCAATAAACGATTGTATAATTGCACACACCGGGGCACTTATTATTCATCGGACATCATGGCCGTCATTTCAACAATAGATACGAAATTATCCGACGACCTTCCGCCGCCTAATTATCAATATTCGTTGCGTTGCAGTCCAGCGGTCGACTCGGTATACGGATGACTACGATCAATCAGTGACGCAACGCACAATAACCGCTCTCGATGTCAGAAAATAATTAGCGCCAAAGTATCACGAGGCCGTTGCGTATCTTGTTAGCAGACGTGTGTCAATAATTGAGCCGGATGAAGTGAATCTCTTAACGTGAAAGTTTACGCCTCCGTAATTCTCACCTGATGTCTAAATAAAATATAAAATGCTTAAACGAAAAAAAGACAGAGAGTATATCTCTCTCTCTCGATGTCAATTAATATTATTTAGAAATATAGATGGAATATCATTCTGCGACTTTGAGCGCATAGAACGGTTTTGCTAAAATATCTAAAAATTTAGTTAGATACAGATAATTTTGTTGGACTATTTAAATAATTATACGGAACGCTTAAACATTGTGAAAACGCTGCAAAAATTTTAACATTCTGCATGAGAGAAAAATGTTTGATATTTGTAACTATAATTGCGTGGTAAAATAATTATGATTATGAGTTTTGTTTTTAGTTACTTTTTTACTGCTATAATGTTAGTAAAATAATAACCATATGTAGGTGTTCTTTCAAACATAAAAAAAAATCATATTATAAATTACGATCATTTTAAATATTGATATGGTAAAATATCAAGGCAAAAATGACAAATGATATAAACAATTTTTATTCAGTAAATATAATCGCAATATATAATAACTATTTTCTTAAATTTACTGATTCTTTATATAATGATAATAATAACTAAAACGTATGTTTATTAAACTAAAGATCCAGATGCAAGCCGCGCGCGCGCTATCAATAGCACAATTAACTATGTACAGTTAAAACAATTGTGAATATATAGTTGTCCTAAAAAAGTTATCCTAAATTATAGTTAAATTAAGTAATCGCAACCATTTTGTTCTACAGCAATCAATTTAAACATCCTATATAGTTATATTTGGATGGTCCAAACAAAATTATTTTCAGATCTGGATTTAATTAAATTCTTAGATATTTCAACGAAACCATTCTTTCCGTACGCGACTAGTCCGCGACGACCAATGCGACTCGTATAAATAATTTCACACGTTAAATTTATCCCCTCGACGCGATCTATATCATTGCCGACCGACCCCTTTCTCTGGTTGAGAAACGCGGGGAACTCGTTGTCAGCGGACGTGCTGATGATCATCGAGATTCGAAATTTGCAGCGTTCTCCAGGCGCGTAACAATGTTGACGTCGGGGCAACCCGTGCAATGCGCGCGCCACGCCGATGCAACAATGCGCTGTAAATTCATCGTCCGAGTTATCTCCGGCGAGCTCCGTGAGTCATCGACCGCCGTCGTCGTCGTCGCGCCGCGATCGATTGGATCAAGCAAATAGAGAAACAGAGAGCGAGAAAGCGAACTTCGATGTTGCGCACCTGATGATAACAGAAGGTAGCTGACACCGCCCTGAAGTAGCTTGAATCTGCTGAACATGAGTTATCGCTGCTGTTGTTGTTTCTGTCTCATGTTATTCGCGCTCGTAAAGTAATGCAGTCATCGGACGGCACGTTGTTGTCGGAGATGCTGCATCGAGATGCGACTTCTGACGCTTAGGAATCCCTGGTGAGGTTTGCTTTCCAGACTCCGTCTGATCACGTAAGACTATGTATTCACAGGATTGTCGAAGTAACTCGTTGATTCTTCAATTATTTATCGCTGAATTTCGCAATTACAAAACATATTCTGAATTAAATTTTACCCGTTGTGTCTTTCTTGCACTCATTCGTTTCAACGTTTTACTTTTTTATACTTGCATCTTTATTAGTTATGTTAGATGCCAATTATCTAATTATTCGGCTGAGAATAACCAAGTTATTAAATTAAAACGTCTTTTCTGTCACTAGTCTTTATACGTATATTATATTTAATAAATGTATTCACTTAATTTGAAGCTCGTTTCATATGAATGACCTCTCTTCCTTCTCATTCTTATTTGGTAAAACGAGCACAATTTATTATTGATTTGAATTAAATTCGCACAATCCTGTCTGCGAATCTGGGTTATGACACAGAGTTGTATCTTCAAGAGATATTTTCTGTTATCGAAATGGATTACGTTTAGCCTATTATTACGTCGCACAATACACCGAACCAACGGTGGAATCAGCTTTATCTCAGGAAATTGCGAGAAGTGGCTGGCGACGTCCGCTCGCCGCACAAGCCGAGCATTCAGTGCGCTTAAATACAAAGCTCACATTATCCAGGGGACATTGAAAATCCGCGCGCGCGCGCGCGAGAAACGAATCCAAACTCGCGTCACACACGCGAGGCCGCGCGGATAAAAAAAGTGGCAAAAAGT